TCGGGTATCCGTGCACGGTGTCTAGGCGCGTATGAGCGAAAATTTTAAAACGGGAGGATGACATACAAGTTAAGAACATATACCCAAATTTCAGCCTCCCGGCTTTCCTGGTTGTTGCAGTGAAAGTGGGTGACAGAATTCACACGCTTCCAAACACACACAGACGACCTCTTGACAATACGCGTTTCTGTTCGCTGTTGCGGCGAAACGCATAAAAATTAAGGGACCTAACTGAAAGGAAATGTGCAGTTTACAGTAGAAGAAATGCAACAATTTAAGAATTTTAAATGCTAAGAACAAAACTGTCCTGGCAGTCAACATGCGCATCCCATATCAGTGGTTACTGAGATGCTCTCATACGCCAGGAGCAGCTATGTCAGGCCTTTCAGTCCCTGATTTCATACGTCCAGTTACTAGCTACTGCCTACTCGATATACATGTATCACCTCTCCTGAATTATTGGAGGGGCCGACTTTCTCGCCGCCTTAAATATCATCGTTAATTTGAAAAAAAACGTAAGTGCCATAAAGGCTTTTTTAAAAAGGCACATATCTCTTTAACTGTCAAATCTAACCGTATAGTTATTCAGACGCTGCATTTATTTGGTTGGGAAAAACTCATTTGAAAGGTTCGGATAGGTTTTTCTGATTTAAATCGTTTCTCACACCATCCTTTATGTCTTAAATGATTGTACATTTAATTTGGGCAAGAGTTTCTCTTATGACACGATAAATGCGCAGTGCTAACGCATTCAGGGATTAGAAAACGAAGCTGAAAATTAGCCGAAGCAGGCGGTAGCGCCCACAACTCTATGATATCGCTCACCTCTCTGCGGGCACAGAGAGAGAAAGAGCTTAAGTGCTGGCAGCAAAATTTACAGTGCCGAAAGTCGATCTGCGTCCGATTAATAAAGTCTAATTAAGGGATAAAAAGCAGTACAACAAGATTTTTTAAAAACTAAGACTGGGACAAGGGGAACAAAGTAGAGTAATATAAAAGTAGAGATAGAGAAATTGCTATGAAATTGGAAAGAAATGTTTCGGTGCAAATTTAACGGTAAAAAATAAATAACAAACATCGGCGAACTGTTTCGCCCCAAGCGATAAGCTTCGAACTGCCAAAGGGATTAATCTAAGCAGCGTGAATAATACCATCCAACATTACACAATTCGCTTACAATTCCAATTTGTTATTTTCAACGCGACTATGCCCGGCTGACTAAAATTTTTCGTGCGTGGTAATAATGTGCAATTTAAAGATTTTTAAAGTGAAGCGCTCAAAAAGTTAGCAAGCGAATTGTGCATGAACCATACACTGCCAGCGTAACAAGTGAGTATGGTTCTTTTAAGTTGGCATTTTCTCCAAAACTTGCTACAACTGGAATTTTGAAAGATATTTATCAGCTTTCTTTTTTTGTCCAGCGGCAGGTTTCGAACCTGCTCGATGGACGAAGAAAAACGTATCAAGCAGCTGAAGTACGGACGAGCGCTTCACTTCTTTCGGTGCTTTTCTCGATTTTTCGTGAAGTGTAATGCAGAACAGAATCATGCAAAATAAGAAGGACTGACTACTCTGGTTCACAAAATACATGCGTTCACAAGCAGCGAAATCTTTTTTGAGAAGCAGTC